GAAGTGGTTAGCGCACTTGCCTTTCACCTCTAAGGCCGCGGGTTCGAATCTCAGTGAGGACTTCTCATTGTGACTGGAACCCAGTCCTAATGTGAAAAGAGTAAAGTCAACGCTCTGCCGAAAGTCGTGGGTTTTCTCCGGGTACTCCGTGTTTCCTCCCACAGGGAAAGTTGACAGGGTGGGTTAGGCACATAGGTCTGGAGGCAGATCATTAATGAGGTATGGACTAATAGCGGCTGCTCAAGCGCCATTTGTAAGCTCAAAGTCTACCTCGGTCTGCTTCAAGTCAGTCCGGTTCTATCTATCTATTCATAATGTAACCAGTCACTGAAAAGCTCTGATAGGGAGTGTGCTGTGAAATATCTGTAATCTGTAATCTGTAATAATATATATATATATATATATATATATATATATATATATATATATATATATATATATATATATATATATATATATATATATATATATATATATATATATATATACATGCCCGTGAGTTTAAAGAAGCGTAGTTTAGGCAAACAAACATTTAACCGTCACATTGACACCCCTACAATTTACTTACAACTGAAACGCTCTCACAAATCTCCTAATTCATCTTCATTAACCTTTAACCCACCCTCAACTTCCTTCCCTACACCGTCTCATGATAACAATAATCACCCGCATTCGATAGTAACTAATGGCAACCAACATATTGAAATCCATCAACCAATCAGACGTTCCCACAGACTTCAACAACGTCAACAACAGCGCGAAAATTCAAATGATCAATCTTTCTGATGAAGGCTCGAAGTACCGAGTCGAAAGCTCAAAACAAATAATTACAATCCGGAGAACACTGTATAATTTTGTAAAAAATTATAATTTAATAAAATGCCTGGATTACAAATCTTCAAATCTATTAAATATATATATATATATATATATATATATATATATATACATATATATATATATATATATATATATATATATATATATATATATATATATATATATATATATATATATATATATATATATATATATATATATAAGCTCAATAAAAGTATATTTTTTTTTTCTTTCGAAAGCTCAATAAAAGTATATTTCAATCCGGAGAACTTTAACTAATTATATATATATATATATATTTCTTACTGTATGTAATATCATACTATATCTTTGTAATTTTATTATTGTACACGCCCCTTGTGGAAATCAGCCTAGGTTGACAATGGTTAGCATGTTTAAATAAAAGTTTCTATCTATGGATGATATTATTTGATATGATATTATTTGTCAATTACGTAATCTTAAAATTTCACAGTCTACCGGTATTGATAACATTCCTGCTATAGCTATTAAATTGTCCGCGGAAGTTATTGGTCCTTCATTAACATGGATTTATAATCTTTTAATCAAAACTGGGATATATGTTGATGAATGGAAAAAGGCGTGGATAATGACAATTTTTAAATCTGATGATAGACAAAGATGTGAAAATTACCGACCGATATCTATATTGCCTATTGTCAGTAAAATACTAGAGAGATCGGTTTTCAACCAGATTTATAAGTTTTTGAATGATAATTCGCTGCTATCTAAACATCAATCTGGCTTTCGGCCTAAGCATTCAACTTTAACAACACTCATTCAAATGTGTGACACACTTTATGAGAACATGGATAATGGTCAGTTGAGTGGTGTTGTTTTCCTTGATATTAAAAAGCTTTTGATTCTATTGAACATACAATCCTATTGCAAAAGATGAATGATCAATTTGGAATAAAAAATGTGGAACTGGATTGGTTTAAGTCCTATCTAACTAATAGAGAGCAAGCATGCATTGTCAACGGTGCAATGTCATCACCTAAAACGATTGTGTGCGGAGTTCCGCAGGGATCAATTCTTGGTCCCTTTCTGTTTTTATTATATATTAATAATTTACCCGAATGCCTCGAAAAATCTTCGCCACACCTATACGCTGATGATACTCAAATTTCTACTTCTGCCAAAACTATTGAGGAACTTACTGAAAATCTAAATAATGACCTGAAAAAAGTCGGCGAGTGGCTTGCTCGAAATAAACTGCAACACCACCCAACTAAGACCAAATTAATGTATATCGGTTCAAAGTCTAATACTGATACTATGACTTATGATATTTCAGTAATGATGAATAACCAATACATATATATAATTCTTGCTCATTCATACATATGCCTTGGGGTTAAACTTGATGAAAACCTTAATTGGCATGAGCATGTTGAAATGATTTGTAAGAAAGTTGGGGCCGGCATAGGAGCAATGCAACGAATTAAGCCATATGTTCCTATAAATACCCTGCATACCATTTACAGAGCTTTGATAAAACCGTATTTTGATTATTGTAGTCCATTATGGGACGTCTGTAACCAACAGCTGAAAGATAAGCTTCAAAAGTTCCAAAACCACATTTTTCCCATGAATGATTATAATTCTAATATAAAGACTACAGATAAAACTTTGATTTAAAGCTAGTTTCAAGTGATGAGCATACCCTAAATTTTAAGCTATACCTCAAAGAAGATAGGTCATTTCAACATAAACATTGAAATATGGGTATACTGACAGCGCTGTCACACGTGTAGTTTGACATTAGCAAACCTTCTGAAACATTTTAATGAAAGTATAATTCACAAATTTCACATTTTCACTTACTTCTTAACATCTGTTTTAATCCAACTAGCTCTGTAGGCACCAGAAAAATTTAGTGTTGATGTAAATATCCATTTTGTTCATGTTTCCCCGGTGAAAATATAGTCTATTCCAAAGCTGATTCGACGTACTTTAGCTTTTCAGAAACCGTTGGCCTTCCTCAGTGAGATTATTAACTGTTTCACAAACATATTTTAGAGTAAACAGCTAAAATATTCTCCGAAAGTCTATATTTTTGCTCTTTGACGCGAAAATGGAAACTTAAAGAAGAAATGAGCCGCTATTTTTGGTCAGCGTCGACAAATTGCCTACCTGTTGCCGGCGAAGCGACTAAAATACAGGCCTTCGTCTTCGATTTAAAAATATAACTATACAGTATATCAAGTAACTTTCCGCACACAAATAAGTAAATACACAATAAACATACCTTTGAAAACAAATTCCATGTATCTTGTTAGGTCTTTGGAACTTTATATGTAGAAAATTTGAATAAATATCTTTCTCCTTTGAATGTTTGCTCCCAAAGGATTGAACTTGGCGCTTTCATGGTCTTTGTGTGAACCAGATCGAATTACTACAACACGTGATAAATACTAAGCATGCTAATTGGTTGAAATTCTGGAACTTCCACTTGTCGCAAATTATATTTAGCAGATTTCAGCAGCAGAACATTCCACACGTTCAAATTACAGATTTAGGCCAGCAAATAAAAATTATAGATGACTCGCCGACAATTAATTTCTGGCTACATTCGATCGCCGCGTGCGATTGAAGCCGATATAAGGTATAATACATCAACGGCATCCATCTGACTTGGCAAACATTCGAGTAACGAAAAACGTAAAATAAAAAAAAACAACTTTATATCTCGAACTTCGTGCTTTTCGCATCTGACTGTATTCAATACTTTAATAGAGTATAACCTCCAGCAGAAAAACTCTTGGATTCTCAGGCACATTAATTATATATTGTAATAATTTACTCCAGATCCAGAACAATTTTACTCTTTTTTAGGAGTTGAAACGACCCCTGGAGTAAAATTAAGGAGTACAAATTACTCCATAATTTCTACTCCTAAACGCGAGTTTAGTTCACTCCTCCAGGGGAGTAAAATTGACTCCTGATGGAGTAAATTGTGGAATGCGCGCCGAAGTGGAGTAGTTTTAACTCTATTTTGGGAGTAGATTTTACTCCACTATTTTTACTCTCCCGAGTTGAGTAGTTTTAACTCCTATGGTGGAGTTATAATAACTCCTTGAAATTAACAGTGTTTAAGTAATGAGCATAGTACATTTAGCAGAAAATCATCTAACAAAACACAAAACCTTAAACAACACCAAAAGACAGATTCCATTGGTTCTGAAAGTTACAAGGCAAACCTTAGTTTATTCCATGAATCAATGCAATATACCACAATTCAGTGTTCTGAATGTTTTGAAGCATGGCCTGTAAAAATCAAACCAAAATGGGCTGCCAATTATGTTTGTCGTAGATGCAAAAGTGACAAAAAAAAATCCAAGGAAATTGTCTGCTCAGAATAGTATGATTCCCTCAAGTGTGCCTGATGTGTTGTAGGGCTTAACTCAAATTGAAGAAATGCTCATTGCCAAAGCACTCCCCATAATGCAAGTGTATGTAAAACCTAGTGGTCAAAGGGGATATATTGGACATTGTATAAATTTGCCTCAAAAAGTGTCAGAGTTAGCTAATTCTCTTCCACGTGTTCCTTCTGATATACCAATTATAATAGTTACTATGAAAGGGAAGGACAATGCTCTAAAAGATGTTTTAGTTAGGAGACAAAAAGTTGAGCAAGCATGACGTTGGTTGTTAAAACATAATCCACAATACAGATGTGTGACAAAAGATACAAATGCATTAGAATCATTACCAAGTAATGGTATTCCTTCTAATATACCAACAATACAAACATTAGAAGACCCAGATGCAGTTGATGATCAGGATACTGATACAATTTTAACTGGAGGGGAAGTTGTTAATTGTGACAAAGAAACAAATAGCTTTCTCCCAGTCTCTTCAAATAGCTGTTTAGAAAGTGAAGAAACAAAAAGTAATCTTAATAACTCTAAAATAAATTGGCCTTCAATTGATGACCAACCATTAAATGAGTATACAACGCCATTTCGTTCCACCCTTGCTTTTCCTACACTTTTTCCAGATGGTAATGGCGATCCAACCAATCCCTGTCTGGAAAGAGACGTAACTTTTGGTAATCGAATTCAACATCTTTTGAAATATTCTGAAAATATTGATGGAAAATTGGTGTACAGGTTTTCTTCTCACCCAAGGTTTTCATATTGGGCTTTAAATGTGATCCAAAGGAAACGTGCCATTCAACAAACTTCCATTTTTCTCAAGCAGAATCCAGATGAATCTCATCTTACTGTGGAAGAATTACAAGAAATGGCCTCTGGTAACAGTTCATCAACTTTTATGTCAAAACTTTCTAGACACGTAGCAAATGTCACTGGCAGTTGTGCATATTGGTTTAAAGTTAAGGAAGACTTAACAGCAATCATTGTTGCAAAAGGTGCCCCAACAATATTTTTCACATTCTCTTCTGCAGATCTTTACTGGCCTGAATTGCATTCACTTTTTTCTCCAAATGATGATAATTTAAGTAAAGAGGACAAACGTAAAAACGTTATTGACAATCCTCACTTAGTTGACTGGTTTTTCACTAAACGTCTAGAATCATTTTTGAAACATTGGTTGTATGAATGATACATTAAATGCTGAATGGCATTGGTATCGATATGAGTTTCAAGCTAGAGGTAGTATTCATTGCCATGGTGCTGCAAAATTGAAATCAGATCCCGGTCTTTGTGAGATAACAGGTGTAGCATTAAAAGGGTTTCTAGCAGAAAAACATGGTACTGGTGTTGACAACAAATCTATTTCAATGAAAATATATGAGGGGAGAAAAGCTTCCCAAATTGTTTGTGATTATGTTGATAGACTTATTACTACATGGAATCTATTTCCACCTCAATCTGAATTGTGGACAAAACCACTTATTCATCTATGTTCGAGGCGACACATAAATATCTCTGATTCTGATCATGAAAGTGACTATATAGATTTAGTAAATACAGTTGAGCGTCACACAAATTGTAGCACAAGATATTGCTTGAAACATGAACCTAACAAAGCAGAGCTTGTTTGCAGATTCAATTACCCATTTGATTGTATAAATGAAACAAAACTTAAGTTTGAGCCAGTACACACCAAAGACAAAAATATAAAATACAAAGCGAGCATAGTGACTGCAAGAAATGATTCAAGAATAAATAGTTATCAGAAAATTCAACTTGTAGGCTGCAGGGCAAACTGTGATATGCAAGTTATACTGGATTACCATGCATGTGTTGAATATTTGTGCAAGTATGCTGCAAAAGGCGAGCCCAGATCTAACACATTAAAAAATGCATTTCGCAATGTAGTGGGAAATTTAAAAGCAAATACAAATCCATGAAGGCAATGAAAAAGATTATGATAAAAACACTTGGCGAAAGAGATTTTAGTGCACAGGAAACTAAGCATCTATTACTTTCAATGAAATTGCACAGTTCATCATTTCAAGTTTTGCCAGTCAACTTAGATGGAACTCGAAGGTTAAAAAGGTTAAAGACCCAAATAGTAGCTCCACCAATGATTCCATATTGGATAAATATTCGAAGCGTGAAACTTTTAAGAATGATTTCCCATTTGTGATGAAACCAGGGGCGGATCCAGACCGATGCCAGCGATACGAATGCATCAGTCAAAATTGAGAAATCATGATTCATGTTGCTTGAAATATATCGATATGTAATTCGCCAATAGTCAAAGCATACAGTAATAAAATATCTCCTATCAACCCGCAAATCTTTGCTTAAAATTGAATCCATGTCAGGAATACACTATTTAGGATGAAATCCAATTTAAATAGTCTGAATAACACGTCGAAATTGTCAAAATAAGTCCAACATACGACGTTGCGAATTGCGATCGCAAATGTGTACTTTCTGTTGTTTTGCGACACTTAAGCGTCAATATTTTCGCGACAAAATATGTTATTTTTTTACCGCATCTTGACGTCACAGTTGAAGCAAAATGCATCACCTACGTCACGTTAGATTCGATTGGCATCCATTTTGCATCAGTGAATGCATCGGTCCCGAGTCCTTTTCCGCGTGAAATCTAACGTGACATCATCAAATCTATTGTTTTAGAGCCCTACGTCACGTTAGATTTGGCCGCTGAGCGATGCATCGCATGCAGATTGCGGGCGCTCGCATCAGTGCACTGATGCAAATTGCAAAATCAAATCTACTGTGACGTAACGAGGCATTCGATTTAAGACATGGCGGCAAGGATATTTGATCAATTTGGATATGCAAACACTATATGCAACCATTTGAGAAATCCCTCGAAATTGACGGAGAACATATAATTTACAGTCGAACCAATTACTAGTACCAAGTGGAAGAATGGAAGGGATCTTATGCCCACGATGTGAAACTCGAATGAACTGAGGGCTCTAATTAATAAGTACTGTAAGTTAAATTTCTCTATATTTTTACAAATGGTAGTAAATTACTAAATTGTTCAGTTCAAGAAGTGTGTAAAGTGGAAAATGGGGTCCTGCACAATTAATATAGATTTGTATGTAATAACAAAATAATTACAGTTTGTGTCTATTACTGTTGTTGCTCTATATTCCAGAAAGCCCAGAAAGATGTTAGTGGTTGGGGGGCGGGGGTAGGGGGGGGGTAGAGTTTGACATTTTACAGAGGTTTGCTTGTCTGGAGCCAAACTAGCCCCAATACAAACTTGACAGCTTGCTTTACTGAGGCAAATTTCATCTCTGTTTACATGGGATTATATCCTGTGCCCAGACCTTCATTTTTCTCACAGCTGGCGGGCAAAGAAAAATGAAGACCTGATACACATGTTATTATGTTTGTGTCCTACAACTGCCTTTATTGTTGTGACTCCGATTGGCTATTTCTAGCATGAGTATTCATGCCATATTTAATGTATTTTTTGATAATTGGTTAATGCTGTAATTAAATAATGATATATTTAGTGGTTGGAACTATATTTAGCTTGTTGTTATTATGTGAAATTGACATTTCTTCTGGCACATTTTGATTGGATACCAAAAATAAAACTATAGTGTGGGTGGAAAGTAACTGTGAATGGACCAAGACTTGCATCAGTCTCTGTATGTAATTACAGAGCATAATTGCAGCCGCATTAATTACTATTAGAAATCTCATTAACCTGCAAATTGCAGGTTAATGAGATTTCTAATAGTAATTAATGCAACATTGGTTAAAAGACTAAGGGGGAGTTTACATGAAAGGTAATTGTTTCAAGTTGCAACTTCCAGTGGTATCTCCTATTTCATTTCATTTTATATGGAAATGAGCTAGTATGCCGTGTGACGGGGTCTTTCTTTGCATTGCCTGAGTTATTGGGCAATTACTATACACTAGCTGGATATTTTGCAAACAAAGATGATTGCCTGGGTTTGCTCGCCTACCATAGTTGAGTGTTTATATGCTTTGTCTGTGCAAATATAATTTGATATAAGCTGTATATATCATATGATATTCTCCTGACAGATTTAATCTTAGAATCAATGATAAAACGATAGACGGTATAAATACTGTATATACTGTAACTGGTGTATACAGGTTATAATTATGAAATTTGCTCACAAAAGTGGGATAGTTTGGAAAATATATTTAATTAAATTATATATTTGTAATGCTAATTATCCAAGTATTATGTTTTGGATAGCCAGCATGCCATCCTGAGGATTACGATTACCATTGATATAAGTGTATGGATATATTTGACAAGATAATATAGGGAAAATTAAATATTCGAAAATATTCATCAATACTACTGTGCAACCTTTCTTAAAGGAGTACTGTATTATAAATATTAGTTGAAAGGCAGGCAAAAGGGGACAGACAGAAGACATACTGTATGATTAAATTATGTCATGTTATCATTGTACAGTTTGGTATTGGTTTATTTATCAAACAATTTCCAATTAATTAAGATAGCTTCATCAAATTAATTTACACACAGTCTCTATTGATTTAAAACGTGTGTGTACCTAGTTATATATTTAATATATCATTTTAAATCCAGTGTTTGTTGTGTGTTAGTTTACTGGTTTCCTCGCCACAAGGCAATATTCTCAGTATTCAGAGTGTGGGCTATTCACCATGCAGTTCATCTGAAAGGCAGCTAGCCAGGGGCAAATGAAATTGACCAGCTGATGCCAACCACACTGTCCATGTAGAGTAAGATTAGCAACATAAGACAGAGTTGCATATATTTACCCATGCAGTAAAGCACAAAATACCTTTAATCTGTATGCACCATGATATGTTATTTTACTTTAAATTCTAATGCTACAAGATTTTACTCATGGAACATTGGAAATTAACAGGGGAAGATGGTTCATAAACAACATAATAACACTTTCTTCTGAGTCCAGCAATGCAACTAGTGGAGCACACTGTATACACCTTTGTTACACAGTATGTGTTTATTTGCGTTGTCGTGATTTTCTGCCGAAATGTTTTTTAATAGAAAAGTTAAGGCTACAAGAAGCACAATACTGACTATTTTTTAATAGCGACTTATTGCCACTGCTGCTATTACACTTGTACAAGCAAAATTTTTTTTCTTATGTGGAGAAATTATGTTTTTTTTGCGATATAGATTCAAGTTTTTTAGTAATACGTATTTTTCCAAAAATGCAGCAAAATTTTTGTGACTCTGATATAGGAATTGCAACAAAAGAGTTCGCTCAGAACGCAGGAAATCGCATTTCCGAGGTCCTAGATTTCAAAATTTCCCGGTGGAGGATACCCCCGGACCCCCCTACAAATGCGAGGTCTTATGTATGTATGCATCAGTCAGCTCAGGAGCTGGATCCGCCCCTGGATGAAACTTAATTTAGCTCAGTGGTTTATCACAGACTACAAAATTGCCAACGGTAAACTTGTCAAACAATCATCAAAAGTCATCCCGCGCTTCTTCCCTTGTTATTCTTTAAATCCAAAAGGAGTGAATTATCCCCTATATTGTAAATATCAGATTTTGAAGTACAAATCTTGGAAAAACTCTCAAAACGATGCATGGAATTATGAAACGTCATCAGATACTGCCTTTGTTAATTGTTGGCTTGAATTTTTAAATTCTCCTAATGCAAGTCGTTATGTACCAAATTGGGAAACGCACTTGCAAAATGTGTTAGATAATGTTGTGCAAGATGATAATGCCAACTACGATGAGAAATATGATTATGAAAATTCTCCCCAAGAGGAATGGATGATTTTGTCTAATTACCATGAACTTCAAGGTATGCATAAGCACCCTGAAAATTCATATAATTGGCAACTAGATTCGACAAAGTACGCTGCTGAACAAATATCTTCTATGAATAAATGGATTTCTAACCAAAGGTCTGATTATACTGTTGCAGCAAGATACTATAAAATTGATACAGAGACATTTAGTGAAAAACGACAACTAGCATATGACCTTATTGTTAACCACCACGGCAGACCAATTGCCAAAGAAATTATTTAAAGGATAGTTGTATCATAACAGCGACAACTGGAAAAGCTGCTATTAATATAAATGGCATAAATATCCACTCATTTTTAAAACTCCCAGTTGGCAGAATGTCTAAGAAAGATTTAACTGGCCAAAGCTTACATAGACTGCAAGACTGACAAGACAATTTATTGTCTGTTGAGTCAGGGCGTTTATAAGATAGGGCGGCGAAACGAGCATAGGAGCCCTGATATGTCTGTGATGCAAGGGACCCCCCCAAATATTCGAACACATGCGAGTAAAAATGGCGGAAGCTCAAGCTGAAATGGAAGAGGAAGATTTTGATTTAATTCTTAGTTTAGATGACACCGATGCCGAAAAGGATGATAAAACATCCCCTGTTATTCGACAGTCGACTGATGCTTTCACTATCAATGAAGTGATCGCAGTTCTCGAGAGGATTTCTTCCAGCACGATAAAATCCGAAGCTGAAATAGCCACAACAATATTGCGAAATACGCGCGGGGAAAAAGGTTTTGCCACCTTGGATTGCTTTGTGTCTGTATTTGTCCAATGTCGAGGTTTTTAATCAGTGCAATGGTTCGGTGAAGAAGTTTAAAAGGGACAGCGTACGGGTTATTAGGTTGGATAAAAAGTTTGCCACTCTGAGAAATGACAAAGTGTGACCAATCTATTTGATGATTAGTGGAAAAGGCTTGCAGGAGATGCCCATAGTTTTGAGACCTCTGTTGTGGGAAATGAAGGGTGTTTTTATCACTGTTAAACTGCTTGGACCACTTACTATTTAATTTGAGCATAATGGCCTTTTCAAACATTTGGTTAACATAGTTTATAAATATGTCATATTCTTTGTTTAGGCAGCATTCTGCTTTGTTATCTAGAGGGGTTGATGTGCCCTGTTGCATGCAGTGAGACTTCAATTGATGCAGCAATGAATTCATTGTTGTCTCATCAAGTTGTTCCCCTTGTAAGACTGGAGTGAGTAGGTGATTGGATTGTTCTAGGAAACATCTCACATTATTCTGGTAGAAGACCCATCTGCATGTACCTTCTGTTTTTCCAAAACCCTGCACTTTGTTTGCATAAACTCGATGAAAATAGTTTTGAATACTGTGACTACTGTATTTCGCACCAATAATTTGGTAAATTATGTCAATTATTGCATCGTATTTACCAGGTGCATAATTTTTGGTGAAGGGTGCCACTGGAAACACAAGGGTCATCATAGAATAGGGTATTATAAAATAGTTGGGTCCAGAGCATTTCTTTGTGGCCGAGGTGGTGTGCTAAATTCTGCTCTTCTCTTGGGTGTATCCAGGGCCGTAGCTAGCATGTATAGTTGGGGGGGGGGGGTGTAGGCCAAGACATGCGCAAGACATAGACGCAGAGACATATTACAGAAGCAGTGCCGTAGGAAGCTCTTTTTCATTAGGGGGAACGGAGGCCCGAGGAAATTTTTAAATTTAGAGTCCCTGAAATGCCATTTCCTTGACTTTGGGAAAGTTTTGACAGAATACTGATGGTCAGAAAAAAGCATTTTAGTATGTCAAAATTTACAATTTGCTTACAGTTTAGTAGTACCAAATGGGCGAAGACGTATTTAATTAACTATACTGCATATTGGAGAAGTTGCAGGAAAAGTATGGGAGGGCTGCAGTGCCCCCCCCCCCGGTTGCTACGGCCCTGAGAAGTAATGAACTGAAAAACATTTACCGATTTACAATTTGTTAAATGTTATCCATGTAAATGCCATAATTTCATAAATCAGTTTATACTGACAATACAATTTTATAATATTTTCTCTGTTTAACAACTAAAATTTTGTTCTACTAATATTATTGCCGTAATTTTCCGAATGGCCAGCCCGATTCTCCGAATATGTCGATTCTAAAAAAGTTGAGGGGGTGGTTAACCACCTCCCCCCCCCCCAACACCCCTGCCCTCGCTACGGCCCTGGGTGTATCATTGTATCCTCTCACTGGTGAAACCGTTCTTTTCAAATTATTTGACATAGTTGTAAGAGTAGACAATTGTAATATAAACTAGTTGTGTATAGTAGATATATACAAAACGTGCTAGACCAAATTTTATGTCTATTTTATAAATGTGCACTTTTAATAGATATTTGATATTGAACCAATTATCAAAGTCGTTTTGGCTTGTTTTTCTCAGTGTCTTTTTAGTTATATTATCTGTGTTGTATAGTTAATTTAAAATACAAAGTGTTTGTTTACCTTTTTAAAATTTATTTCGCAATAAATAAATAAATTTCGCAATTTTCATCGTTGTCTGTGTCCGTCTTGACTTGCCTCAATCTTCCGGTTCGCGCGGCATAATTCGAAATGTCTGCCGAATATTTTTCCGTTGTGTCGTGTTTGTTCCCATATTGCAAAAAAAGTTCAAAAAATTAAGTGACAATATTTTTACCAAAGAAAGATCTGATAATGGACTAGTCGTCCTTGGATTTGCTAAGTTCTGGTGACAGTACAAGTTATTAATATTTTACAAATCGAAGGCCGGTTGGAAAAGCGAAATTCGCAGTGACGATGAACCCGAACACTTGTTTGAAAACAATTCTCATTTACTCGTTACATGTTGGCTTCTGGTCAAGGATGAACATGCTGGTAAGAAGAACAAGTATTCCTTTGTCGATTTAAGAATAAGAGTGGCCAAAAAACGTTTAAATTTCTTTTATATTCGTATATTTTAAAACTATACGAACCTGGGAAATTTTTCAACTGTAATAAATTTTTTATGCTGTATTCAGCAAGCTATTGCAAAAAAAGTTCAAAAAATTACGCCATGAAATTTAAGAGGAATAACGATTTGTACTTTGTTAACATGCATTTAAAAAAGCTAAGTTCTGGCTTATTTTTGAGATATAAAATAAGTAATTTATTTACGCATCCTAAAAACGCGTAAGGGAATCCATTATGATGTTCGGCTTTCATGTGCAAAATTTTCGTAGTTTTGTTTTTACGATTGTCTTGAATCATGCCATGTAAATTGTAAAAAACGTATATAACCAGATGACAAAATATGGCAACGATAGACTGCATAATTTCGGCAAAATAAGAGATTTAAAAAGTGTCTTCGAGTTTCGCATCAATATTTTGTTTTGATTTAAATTTCGCGCCTTCCCCGCTAGCCCCAGTCCTAATTTGCATCACACATGTTTCACGCGAATTACTGGCGTTTCGCCGCCCTATCTTATAAACGCCCTGGTTGAGTACATCATAATTGATGAATACTCTATGCTGGGTCAAACAACCATAGGGTGGATTGACAGACGTTGTAGACAAGCCACTGGCTTAAAAGATAGTTTATTTGGTGGTAAATCTATTATTCTGATTGCTGATCCTGCACAGTTACCACCAGTTGGAGATAAGCCCTTGTACCATGACAAGTCATCTAATCCAATAGCTGAACAGGGCTCTCTTGCATATAGAATGTTTGACAATGCAGTGGTACTTGATGTTAATCAGAGAATAAGTGGTGGTGATCGAATATGACCAAGTTGTATTTAAAGGCATTTTATCAAGACTTCGAACAGGAAAAATAAGTTTAAATGACTGGAAATTATTTCTCACTCGCCAGCCAAGTGTTGTGTCTAACATTAATGATTTCTTAAGTGCAACAAGGTTGTTTTATAGCAATGACGAAGTAGCAAAGTACAATTATGAACACTTAGTTAAGTTAAACACACCCATTGCAGAAATCCATGCACGACATTCCAGTGATGATGCTAAGCGTGTTAGTTCCCAAGATATGCTTGGTTTACACCCATTTATTTTGATTTCCAAAGGAGCAAAAGTAATGTTAACAATGAATTTATGGGCATCTGTAGGTTTATGTAATGGATCAACAGGAACCATCATTGATATTATTTATGCAGAAAACCATGCCCCACCTGACTTGCCTATTGCTGTTTTGGTAAAGTTTGATAACTATTGTGGTCCTTCTTTTGCAAGTATTCCCTCTATTGTTCCTATTCCACCAGTTACTGCCACTGTAAATGTTCAAGATAGCATACATGAAAGACATCAATTACCTTTAACACTCGCCTGGGCATTGTCAATTCACAAAAGTCAGGGTATGACTTTGGAAAAAGCATGGATTGATATAGGAAAAACAGAGACCACTTTAGGAATGACGTATGTTGCCATAAGTCGTGCTAGAAATTTATTGTCATTAATAATCGAACCAATGACGTTTGATAGACTGACTTGAATAAAGAAAAACGAATCATTACAATACAGATTGAAAGAGGAAAAACGACTCCAAGCAATTGCCAACTTCACAAACTTAATTGTAATTCTGTTTGTGTTTCTTATTTTTCAATGTTTTTATATGTAAGCAAATGATTTCAAAAGTACGATTTGTGATATAAAAGTTTCAATTTGTTTTTAGTTGGACAAATATGGATGAAATAGGTGGTACGTATGACAGGCTTGTATAGTACTTCATTATATGGGAATATATAATTTATCTTCATGCACTTTCTGTTAGATGGTAAGAGTGCTAGAGCTAATGTTAAAGTTTCTGAAAGTAATTCGATACTATATTAAGTAGAAACTGCAGTATGAATTATAACAAATATAATGGAAAGCTTCTCAAAAACATGATTTCCGAAAGCATAATAGATTATTTTTGTAACATTGATATTTACTTTACCATCAAGATGACAACGAGCTTACTGGCAATACTGCCTCACAGAAAATGGAAATCACCACGTCGAAGGGTAAGAATTAATATCATTTACTACCATTCCTGAAGAATTTCTACTACGTACAATATTTTTGCTTGCGTATGTCAGCACTTGACTATTCGTCTTAACAATTATAAAGTTACTCACATTATATAATATGAAAATGTTATTGAACGATACATATTTTCTTCTTATAGAAGGTGGAATTTCTAAAGCCAAATTGTCAGAAGCTAGGTAAGCGATTGCTAGATACTCGATTGACAAATAATCAGGAAGGTTTTCCAACACCGTGTATGCCAGGTGATTTTTGAAGCGTTGCGGTACTCTTAAATATTTTATGATCCGTTACATCACTTATTTACTGATGTCGATGGAAACAATGTGTTTTGTGGAACAGAGATTGGAGTGGATCAACGAAACTCTTGACCTTGTCCATTACAAAGACATGAAACTTGAACTTTGATACTTGATATACAGTTAATTCAATTAAGGTTGTCCTTTCAAAACCTTGAACCTAACACTCTGAACGCACAAAGGATAACAACTTATTGCTTGTATAGACCTTTAAACCTTAAACTTTGGTTTTGCAACAATACCTAAAGCATGCATGATTCCTATCACTGTAGTCTATAGAAAAGGTTCTTCGTACAAAGGCCATTTCCCGAGTTTACAGGCGTAATTAAGCAATAACCCATCATCCCTTGCGCGCTCATAGTTTATGATTTACGCGTTTGGAAGGACAACCTTAATTGAAATAGCTGTATAACAATATATTTTAGCAATTGATAAATTATTCGGTTAATGTAATTACAGGGGAGTTAAAAACAAAAAGTAAGGTCGTCTTGTTGTAGAACCAACCCAATGTTTCAAATTTCAAATTGATCTTTTCATTTCAGATAAATCTTTGATTGCTTATCTGCATAACTTGTCCCCAGTAAAAAGAAGCCAGAGAGACAACTTGTGTTTCCATATGACATTGCAAACGGAAAATACGACGTACAGATCAGTATGTTTCTCTCCAGAAAAGCACCAAAATTTTTTGGCCAAGTATGAGTCGTCATCGCTGCTAAAAATTTCAAAGTTCCAGCTAAAAAGGAACGACAGAACAGATCAGGACGAGGTGCACATAAATAAGAGGACCAAAATGGAAGATCCACTAGACTCCGGCGGAGGTATCGTTCGATATCAAGGAGATCGAATCCGAAGATAAATGCAAGCCTGGGATAACCACTGTCTCGGAAGTTATGGAAGGAGATACCAACGCTGTTGTGAATGTTTGTGGCCGCATAACGTTCAGAGGTAGCGAGGAAACGGTCTTGTCCAAAGGTAAGACACTTCGTAAACAGGAAGCTTTGTTTACAGACAACTCGGGCACAATTCGACTTGTGTTGTGGGAGAACGATATCCAGCGGGTAAAATCATTGTCCATTTTCAAAATCTCCAAAATTGTTGTTCGCGAATACAAGAAGGTGAAGTATCTCACCCTTAATAAAATATCAAGGATCGATAATTCGGATTTCCTCATCACAAGAGAGGAAGGTGATGCTGAAGGCTTGCCGAACACAGAAAAAGTCGAATGCCCTGCAGAAGGAGTTTCATATCTTCAGAGCTTTTCTTCCTGCAAAAAGTGCCAAACGAAACTAATTCGAAATTATGAAAAACAATTGGTTAAATGCGCAGAGTGTGGTTTGGCGCAATTATTCCACAAATGCCAGCAGCGTTTAATCGCAAACGTCATGTTCTTGAAGGCGGGAAATACAATATCTCTGCTTCTGTGTGAAGACAAACTCAAACAACTGTATCATATTTACACAAGTCAAGTCGCTGGAGGTTCCACGGAAAGCTTTGAATCGATTCTATAACAGAATTTCTGTTAACCGTTGAAGCTACTATGTGCTACAACACCAAGAAAAACGTTGTGTCGGTGGACAAAAAAAACTGACAAATAAGATTCTTGTACCATTGTAGTTAATAGTTAAGTGCTTGGACAATTTAGTGCTCACATACAATTGTGCTTGGACACATTATTTCTTATTTTGTTTCAAGTTATGTTAAAATAGCATTAACCTTGTTCATTGAAGTATTTCACCTCTTAGAGTTCCACATATCTACTTTTTAATATTATACAACTTTAATATACAACCTTACAGATCGTACTTTTGTTAGGTGCTTATCATCACTATTTGCCTTTAATGCCCGCAGCAATCCCTACCTTGCAGGTACCCTAGTCTTTAAGTTTTTATTATTGCTGCGGAGCGAGCGAGCCTGAAGCGAGCGAGCGTAGCAGCAACCTAATATATGCAGAGAGGGGGTTTTGAAGTAAATTTTATTTTGCGCATGGAATTGTGGTCGTGCGCGTGTAGCGGATTGACCAATAAGTTAATTAGTAATAGGCGTTTATTTTGACATATTTAGGAAGTGACATATGATACACTAGATTGGTTATTGTTTTGACGAGACGGCGTTTGTATATATTTTATTAAATTAAACGAGGGTTCTTTATAGCGAAGCAAATTCGCTATTGTAAATTACAGATTACATAAAACGAAACTGTGTGCGACTCATTGAATTTTGTGTAGTTGCCAAACACTTTGTGAGGCACTCTGCTACATTTTGGCACCTCCCGACGCGATTCGACTTGCAAAGAACTACAACGTAAACAATATTATATTTTTGTAACATGGAAATTACGGCGGCGGAAAAAATTGAGATTGAAAAGAGTAGAATTCTTACAATTAAAAAGGGAAAGGAATCACTTGAAAGTCTTACGGTGGCTCAGTTGGCTGAAGAATATTCAACGCGATACAAGTGTGCTATAGCGTGTTATACATGAAAGCGGAATTTGTGTCTGTCGAAGCGTTTTTAAAATATGCGTGCGGGGTAAATATTATCGATGAAAAAGTGTGTTTGTCTACAAGCTCTACAAACATTGCGTCTTCGAGTGAGAAAGCGACCGGTGAGACATCTTCGTCTGTACATTTAGTATCGAAGCCTCAGTTCTCCCCATTTTTTGGATTTAGTGACGGTGATAAAAATAAAGGAGTCGCATATAATGTTTGGCGATTTGAAGTCGAGTCTGTAATAAAAGGCGCATTCTATCCAGACGAAGTTATTTTGGAGCAAATACGACGTTCATTGCAAGGAGAGGCGAAAGCAAAAATTGTTGGGTTTGGTTCTGAAACATCCTGTGAATCTATCTTGGGAAAACTAAATCAGTTTTACAGCGATGTCGGCGCGGCTACCGGAGATAAATTATTGGCCGAAGCATATCAAATGAAGCAAGGTGAGAACGAGGAAGTTGCAGCATTCGCGTCGAGATTAGATAGTTGTTTGCGTTGGGCGAAAAGACGGGGCACAGAAATCCTTCCAGACGACGAATCGGTCGAACGACAGCTGCGAATGTTATTCTGGGGAGGAATAAAAGAATCGATTAAAGACAAAGCTCGGCACAAAAAGGACAATTGCAAAACGTTTGCAGAATTGATAACAGCTGCGAGATATGGAGAGAAGGAACTGGGCTCTAATCATTCGTCTCGAAAATTCGCTCGAGCCAATCAAGCCATTTATCAATAGCCTGGCCAGAAGTCTCCACCCCAGCCACATAATGACGGGGATAAAAAAGAGTGGATAGCTCAGATTTGCACTGCCATGGCAAAGGAAGTCCGAGAAGTATTAAAGGATCAGGCAAAACCAACTGATGCAAGAAATGTGGGTAATGAGCAAAGAGATTACGACCGACGATCGAGAGGATGGCCAACCGAAGTACCGACCTGTTACCGGTGCGGACAAGCGGGTCACATACAAATTGGCTGCAGAAACCCCCCACTACGCGACGAAAGGTCGACGGGAAACGAACGAAATTGGCTGCAGAAACCCCCCACTACGCGACGAAAGGTCGACGGGAAACGAACGAGGACCTCTGCCAAGAGGTTCTAAGCGCGAATATAAATGCCCCCCATCTCGAAAAATCGGCATATGTTTTAAAAGAACTTATTGGGGATGCCACAGAGGCAGTTGCGTTTATCAATGGACATGCTTGTCTTGCATTGCTAGACACAGGTAGCCAAGTTACTTCAATTGCGAAGTCATTTTACGACAGACATTTATTTAACCAACCTATTGAACCTATCCAGAACATAGTTCGTGTTGTTGGAGCTGGTGGACAAGAGGTTCCATTCCGTGGATATGTTACCATACATGTCAGTTTTCCTGAAACCGATGTCGGTATTCGGGGTACTTTAACAACCCTTGCACTAGTTGTGCCCAATAACAGCTATAATCAGAGAGTACCAGTTATAATCGGAACTAACTTAGTGAAACAATGCAGAAACGCATGTCAACAAATAGCGGGCCAGAACTTCCTGCAAACTGCCAAAGTTTCATCTGCTTGGAAACGAGTATACCAATTCGTCCAGTCACAGGATCGATTTCTTCAGCGACAAGACAGCTTTGGCGCAAAGGTAAAATCAACGAGTCGTCATCCAACCACTATAGCTGCACATGAAACGAAGATACTTATTGGGTTGGCAAACAGTTGTCCAGGATCATTAACCCAAGTTGTTGTGGACCCTTGTAGAATCCGACATATTTATAACCTATTTTATACCTATCTTTTCTGTATTTAGCCCTATTTTTTCCGTATTTTTTCAAAAATATGTCTATTTTATTACTATTTATCAAATTTCATAAAATAGTATATGACTATTTACTCCCTATTTAAAATATAGGTTATATATATTTTTCAAAAAAATAGCTTTGAAATAGATATTCAAATCCTATTTGAAAGAGTAATTGACGGAATCTCACTATAAAATAGCTTTTAAATAGCTTTTTAATTCCTATTGATGACAAACGAGTCAGTTAGAATAGTTTAAATAGCTATTTTTAAACTATTTTTGCATATCTTCTTTGGAGCCATTCTTAACATAGTTATTAAATAGCAAAATAAATAGGTCTTAAATAGCTATTTGATTCCTATTCATAGAAAATTGTGGCGAACTTTGTTCAAAATAGCTATAAAATAGCTATTTTTAAACTATGTTTGCTTTTATTTTTGGAGATATTATTGAGTATTGTTAAAATAGTTATTAAATAGGAAAATAAATAGATCTTAAATAGCTATTTAATTCCTATTCATAGAAAGTTGTGGCGAACTTTGTTCCAAATAGGTATTAAATAGCTATTTTTAAACTGTAATAATTTATTTCTTAAGATATATTAATATTAACAGTCTTACAACTTTCCTGTAGTGTCCGGATTTAAAACTATCGATCAACGCTCGTCCACGCCACCTATATTTGCTAACGTCAGTCTCTATAACGTCGGTCTCTATATTCTCTACACTATTCCCCTCTAAATTTAATAGATAACAAAGCTGCAAAAATGCAGTACAATTTAATAGATAACTAAGCTGCAAAAATGCAGTACAGTCCGACATATATGTATAGCTAAAGCTATTCATAGTCCCGTAACCACGCTGGTTTTTTTCTCGTTCGCGCTGGTCTTTCCGGTGGGGCTTGTGACTGTCCCTCGTTTCCTTCTACTGGTTCTCGCAATGTCTCGTCGCTACCGTCTCTCTGATTATCCTGTTCCATTGAACTCAATGGCCCATCCTGTTGTAATTCGTCAGGTAAATGTTGTACGTCTTCTTGGACCTCATCAGGTAAATTTTGTCCGTGTTCCTCCCCGTTAATTGCCCGACTTGGTCTACTTTGTCTCAAATTTCTTCTAAAATACCTCACTGTCCACTCATCCTCATCATTTCCTCCGTTGGTTGGGGGTTCCGTTTGCGGGGTTTGACCACTACAATTCTCCACGTTTTCTTTTCTCGTTTCGGTGGTTTCTTTCGATTGCAGTTTCGTCTCGTTTGGTGGTCGATTAGGTAGACTTTTCAACGGTCGTTCAAAACACGGTTTAAGACGATTGTAATGGACTACTAACCTATTCCTTTTGTTGGCATTTTTCTCGATTCGATACACCACATCTGAAATTTTCTTCACAATCGTATATGGTCCCCGCCACGGCCGTGATAGCTTCAAATTCTTTCCCTTTTTGACAAATGGTACATACAACCATACTTTCTCCCCGACGTTGTACGTCGTATCTTTCGCCTTCGCGTCATAGTAGTCTTTATATCGCTCGCTAGATTTCTTTGTATTTACTCTGGTCAACTCGTATGTTCTTTCAAAACGTTTCCTCAATTTTTCCGCATACTCTGATGTAGTCGGTGGTACTTCTGCTTGAGGGGGCTCAGGTGTCATTAGGTCAACTGGGATTCTTGTTTCTCTTCCAAACATCAAGAAATGTGGAGAGAACCCTGTTGAGGTTTGCACGGTGGACCGGTACGCCAACAATGCTTGAGGTAAACATCTGTCCCAATCATCTTGACGTTCATTGACCAACTTTGAAAGAATATCTTTCAGAGTCCGGTTCATTCGTTCAACAAGGCCATCACTTTGAGGGTGGTATGGTGTTGTTCGGGTTTTCTTTATCCCAAGAATATCGATTATCTCTTTGAAGACCGCGCTTTCGAAATTTCTCCCCTGGTCCGTATGCAGTCGCTGCATGACTCCATATCTACAAATCCACTCATCCACCAATTTTTGTGCAATGATACGTGCTTCTTGATTTGGAATCGCGTACGCCTCCGGCCATTTCGTGAAATAGTCCACGACCACCAATATATATCGATTACCATCAGGGGTTTTAGGTAGTGGTCCAATGATGTCCATAGCAACACGTTCCATTGGGTATCCCGGTTGATCCAATACCATCATTCCGCGTCGTTTTCTCGACGGTCCATTTCGTTCTGCGCATATCTGACAATTCTTGCAATGCATCTCGACATCTGACTGCCAGTCGCTCCAATAAAATCTTCTCTTTATCACTTCTTTTAACCTCTGAGAACCGAGGTGACCCGCGCTGGGAATATCATGAGTCAACTCCAAAACTTCTTTTATTAATTTTCGTGGTAAACAAATTTGAAGATGTCGGTCATTACCATTATCGTTCTCGAAAATACGATACAAAAGTCCATCAACAAGCGTCAATTGATCGAATTTGCTCCAAAGTTTGCCCATTAGAGGACCCATACGTGTTATATCCTCCTTCGGTGGTCGCTTACCGTCTTTCACCCATCCGATCGCGCGACAAATCTCTGGATCTTCGTGTTGATGCAAACTCAGTTCCTTCGCTGTCCAGCGCAGACACCACGGGCTCGTTTCGTCATTACCATTCGATGCGTTACATACGTGGCCACTCTGTACCTCACGAGTATCCTGAGGTATACGTGATACACCATCAGCATTACCATGACTACGTCCAGGTCTATGTTCAATTTCAAAGTCAAAAACGGACAATCTTTCAATCCATCGTGCTACTTGTCCTTTAGGTTGCTTAAAATTTCTTATCCACCTCAGTGCATTATGATCAGAACGTGCTCTGAATGGTTTTCCTATTAAATAGGATGCGAAATGTTCCATCGACCATACAAGGGCCAATAGTTCTTTCCTAGTAGTACTATAGTTCCTTTCCGCTTT